CATATTATTCCACTGGGATTTATTCTGTTTCATTACGGGTTGTGGTGTCCAAGTGGATAGGTCACCAAATGGTGACCCAGAAGTCCCGGGTTCGAAACGCTCCACCGCTGACCGTTTTCCCTATTTCTGTATTTTCCCTGGCAGCTTTTACATGACTATGGCCCCATTCTCGAAGGTTGACGGTATATTTGTATATTCAGTAGTTGAAAAAAAGAACTAAAAAGAGATTTCATTTCATCTACGATAGCTGAACGGGATCTAGGAGCCATGATCTCCTCATCATTAAAGACGCCAATGCATACAATAAAAGCATGATTCACGGATAGGAGTGTGCTGCGTCCAGTGCGTCGGTCGTTTGCTGTTCTATTGATCGCATCCTTCAAAAAGCTGTTCGCTTTTCATGTTCGCCCGCGGCGTGACTGTAGTGAACCCGCTGCGCACTTGCCAAGACGGCAAAGTTGAAACGGATGCACCACACGATTAATCGTGGAGTTCGCGGCTATTCCCTTGGCTTATAATCTTAAAGTCTTTCCTTTTGGAACTCACTCCCGTTAGAGGCTGAACGAGATGCCATCCAAATAACTTCTTGTCGAGCATCTGGTGAGACGGTTGCAACTTGCGGATGTGAGCCGGTTTTTGGCTGTGGACGCGGTGGTAATGACATTGATATGGCGCGTGGCCCTTCTACCTTTTATCCAAGAAGATGAGGATAACGGTTTTAAATGCCCAAAGACAATGGAACAAAGGAATATGATGTGCAGACAGCGAGAAAAATTTCCAAAATAAGTTACATTACCATGGATCTAAGTCAAAATGTGTCAAGCCTACATTGACTTGACCATTATCTGTGACAGGCTTGAAGTTTCGATTGCTTTGCGTTGTTATGATTATTTGGACCGAATTTCAGGGCGTTGGGATATCTGATAGGATTTTCACTTCTGAATGAGTAGACCATCATGTTCCATTGGGAACATCCTACTCTTTAGTCTCCATCATTTTTTATTTTTTTACCAGTATTTGATTCCTGAACTTTTGTTTTTGTTAATTTGCATGGTTTCTATGCTTCAGCTTCGAGAAGTAGATCATCACTGAAGCAATGGTTGGTCGTTATTACTTTGTGATCGTTGGACACAATGATGAAGCTCTTTTTGAATTTGATTATTCCTCTATGGGGAAAAGTAACGAGAAAGTCAGTTCAGATTTTGTTTTTATGCTGATCTACGTACACTCTATTAGGCTGAAGAATATCGTTATCTGAATCAATATGTGGCGCATGCCGCCTTGGATGTGATTGATGATCAAATGTGGTTAACAACTAACACCTTCCTCAAAACGGTGGACAAATTTAATGAATGGATCGTGTCTGCTTTTGTCACCCCCGGAAGTATCCTTTGATTTGCTGCGTTTGTTCGTGTTTTGTATTTCCTGACAAACAGACAAGTATCTTAGGCTATGACTATACAAACTGATGATTGTCTTCCACAGCTAAGACCAAGTTCTCACGACTGTATAGCCGACAGGTCCGCATTGTGGAGCGGTGTGTTTATGATACAATTTTCTAGGTACTGACACCCACCTTCCAAAGAAAACAGTTACTTTATTCATGGATCTAGTGTATGTTGCGGCAT